TCATCAAGGCTGACAGGACGTCCTCTGTGTGACATAATACAGCTGCGCACACACTCCAACATGATCACACTGTTAATAATGATAATAATAATACATTTTATTTATAAAATAAAGTGTCAAAGACAACTTACTGCACAGTGAAAGATAAAATGCAAGTACAAGGCATAAAATACCAAATGAATTAGAATAAATGGAATCGCATGAAAATAAATGAGGCGCTGGAGTTAAACAGAGTTTCACAGTTGAATCACAACTCTTTACAACAATTAATAATATTAAAATTGCAGAACAGTTTATTAGGCTGCATCAGTTTAGCAGGTGTTCCTAATAAACTGCCAAATGAGTGTGTCAGTGTTATTGTCAGTTGTTTGCACAGGCGGCAAACATTAAGTCTGAGTTAAGTTTTCCTTAAAATAAAAACAGCTGCACAAAACACCTTTAAGTCTCATCCTTAAGGTTTCCTTAAAATGTTTATGCTTAAAAGTTTTTAAGGTTTTCTCCTTATCTTGGTTTACTTAAGAAATCACTTAGTTAAACCGTTGCACTAAAGACTGGAGTGACCAAAGGAAGGAAAAAAACTAAAGGCCCCTCTGACTCTGTCTTTGCATGTCTGAGTTTCTGTAGTTAAATGAAGTAAATTAAAACTTCCCAGGAAGATGATGATGATGATGATGTCCCACGACCTGGAGACTCCCTTAACGACGCAGTGGAATTTTACGGCTGTAAAATCTCTGTCACTGCTGCAAATGCTTTAACTTCACTAACGAAACCTTTTAAGAGATTCTGTGCAACATCCTTAAGTAACTCCATCATCTAAGGAGAAATTAAAGCTTAAGTGCCACACGGCCAAAGATGTTCTTTAATTTAATAGATTTATCTTGTTATTGTTATCACCGTGTTTTTTACTTTCTACTTGTATCTGAGAACATTTCTACACAAGTCATTTTACTTTTACTTGAATAAAATCTCTTTTAAGTAACAGTACTTGTACTTGAGTACAATCTTCCAATACTCTTTCCTATGGAAGGGCAATGCATTCACTTGAAAAAGGTTTTTTTCTCAAGTGAATGCATTGCCCTTCTGGACTTTCCGCCCCTGCAGAACACAAGCAGAGTTAGTCTGATGCCCCAGGGTGAATAATGGGAACACATTTCTTCATAAAAAATACTCTATACCTTTATATCACAGCTGTTTTCTGCACCAGCCTTCCACCGCGTGAACATGGCGAGGCTTCAAACCACAAACTGAAACAGATTTAGAATGAAACCCAGAGGGGCCTGGTGTTGTCACTGACCACAGCCACAATCTCAACACTTGTCACCAGATACCAGATGTATCCCTCTTACAACCAGACAGTTTCACTTCAGACGACCACGTCTGGAGTTATCAGGCGAACAAAAGAAAGGAAATTTAACTTGTCACAACAACTAAACCAGCGACTCAGAATGGCTTCTTGTTTATTGCCCCTGTCTGTTCCCTCCATGAAAACATGCAGCAATGTTGGAAAATGCTCCAAACAGTTGAAGAGAAACTTGAGCGTAGGAAACCAGCTCTCAGGAGGAGACACTTTTGGCGTTTGCCACACAGAATGACTCATCCACCCATTTTACTTTTTTTTTTTCCCGCTGCTCAGTCGAGCAGAAAGACTTTTTTTTTTTTTTTTTCACCATTTGCTCATAAAAGTGCCTTTTAGGTGTAATAAGAGGTTTGTGCTCCTCGCCACAGTTTCCCTTTCAGTGACGTTCTCATGCTGGATAAAAATGTCTGCTCATGCTGAAGATTGAATTTTACAGCTAACTGCCTCAGCTGGTTTGTGTGAGTCTCAGACTGATTCCTGTGGACGTTTAAGGACGCCACAGATGTTGAGTTTGCACATATTTCCACAGACGCCTCTAATTGTTGATATCCTTTCCTCTGACCACCAGATCCGCTGCTCGACCGTTGTTGATGAATGAAGTTTCTTCTAAACCGGTCATGACAACCTGCAAAAAGAATCATTGAAGTTTCCTTCCACCGTCCGCAGTGACCTGAGCTTTCTAGAAGACAACAGTCTGTGATGCTGCTGCTGAGGATTGTCTTGGTTTTGCACCTGTTGAAGCCTTTAGTCACGACGTCAAGAACATTTTCATAAAACTGATCCGGGAGTTTCATTCAAAGTTAAATATTGACTTTGAGGAGGAAGTCAGATCTAAATCTAATCTGACCTGATCTACTTTGGTGGAAGTTACTTTGAGGCAATGATAAAAACAGGTGTGGGTGAAATGGAAGTTGAAGGATTATGTTTTTGTCATGTCGGTGTTAATGCAGTATCCACAATGACAGAGTGTCAGCTGCTACATTCATTAGCATTAGCCGCCTCTGTCCTGGTGGACGTGCAGAGATGAAGATGAAGCCTCGTGTGGGCAGGAGGGTGATTACAGTCAACGTACAGATGACGCACGAATAAAAATCACAACCTTTTTTTTTAACTTACTACATTATTTGCCATTTTTATTATGTTCCAGCGACAGTCAGAGCGGCAGCCATTTTGTTCTCAGGTTGTACGTCCGTCTCATTCTCATAGACGCGATATCTCAGTAACTCCTTGAGGGAACTTCTTCAAATTTTTCACAAAAATTCACTTAAGGACTCAAGGATGAACTGATTAGATTTTGGTGGTCAAAGGTCAAGGTCAAGGTCACAGTGACCTCACAAAACACGATTTTGACCTTGTGAATGTGAATCCTCGCGAACTCTCAAGGGAACTCCTGAAGGGAAACCCTTCAAATTTGGCACAAACATCCACTGGAGCCCAAGGATGAACTTATTAGACTTTGGTAGTCAAAGGTCAAACATCAAGGTGACCTCACAGAACACTTTTTAGCCATTACTCAAGACTTCACACAGTAACTGTGACAAAATTTCACACAAATGTTTAATATGAATATTTTCTATGACTCTGGATAAACAGGGATGAAACCTGGAACTAGTCTGAGTGGAGGAAGGATACGACGACGAGGAGGTAACTGTAGTTTTAATTCAAAACAAAACATAACATTGACTGTGTTGCTTTGTCTGAAGAAGATGTGCTGAAACGTTGATCTACAGAATCTAAAAGAGAGAGAACGCAGTGGAGTTACATTTGTGCTGCGTCCCCTTTTTTCTCCTGCAGTTATTTCTCCATTTGAAGACAGTTTCCTGGTGTTGTCGGCTAATGAGGAGCAGCAGCAGAATGGAGCGTTTGTTTTTGTTTCTCTGAGAATAATCTGCCTCAGTGAGGAGGAGGAGGAGGAGCAGGTTCAGTTCAGGTCCTCTGAAGGACACGGTCCTCTGCCCCTGAACTGGAATGCAATTAATAAATAGTGATTTATGGGCCTTCGCAGTCGTTTGCTTGCCATTGTGCAACATGTAGTCTGCAGCTCTTATTATAGGAAAACCAAATGTGTATAAAGGCACGTGCTTTGAATTTGCTCTGAATCCTTTATTGTGGCTGCTGCTGCTTGTCTGTTAAAATAGCTTCTCTCTGACAGGAACCTCCTCAAAAGCCCAAATCAAATCTGCTGAGGGTCATGGTGGTTATTGAGTGTTCTACTGAGAAACTCTGGAAACTTGGGTTATTTCAGAGGTCTAATTGTCTTTAGGTAAATGTCTCAGGCTTTGATGTTTGCATGAAAGGAGAAGCAACAAATGGGATAAAACAGCCGGATACCGAGCGAGAGCGCGGGAGCAGCTGCTCTGGATACAGGAGGTAGATTAGAAATTTTACAAGATCTTCAGATGTGGTGACAGCGTGGTTTTGAATCCTCTCTCCTCCTCTGCAGCAGTGTTTGTCATTTCTGACCACATTCAGACTCCAGCCCAGCCTTCACTGTGAAGGCAAACAGGCTGAAGCAAGGCCTCGTCATTATCCAAGCTCCTCTCTGGTTGTTTCAGCATCAGTGTAAATAATGTCAAACACATTTCTCCAATAAATCAACTGCTCATGAGACAGAAGAAGAGCGGCTGATTAAAAGAGGCACAGCCATGATATAAACAAAAGATTCTTTCTTATGACAGTAAAAGGTCAATCAGTGCAAATTGATAATTATATCATTATGATTTTCATTGTTTAGTCACATATTGCCTCCAGAAGTGATTCACTGTTCTGACTGTCCAGTGGTTAAACCCTTAATTCTGCTTTTAATTTCAACTCTGCTTCTTCTTTCATCAGTGACATTTAATTTAAAACAATAACTTTATTAAATAATCACTGTTCATACTCATACTGTTTTTCTACAAAGTGCAAAGTGGCTGCTAACTTAAGATCACATAAGCACAAAGTCAAACCAGGACGCACCGACTCTTGGGTCTCATGAGAGGAAGCTGTTTTAAGAAAAATCTTCAGTTGTTTTTGTAAAACCTCAGAAACATATCTTAAAGATTTACAGACATTCAATTTTCATCATTTATTTAAGAAAATTCCCTGGTTGTCTTCTGATCATCATCCCCCTCACCAGGAAGTCGGAAGCGTCACCTGACATCACAGGATGCTGAACCTTTGTCTTCATGTGTCTACTCACTTCCTCCATACATTTGACATCAAAATACAACCTGTAAACTTTGCACAGTTAAAGTTTGAGGAGCTGTGGTGTTTGTCTCCATCTGGAGGAGAACAGGGAAACTTGCAGGATGACGTCAATAGAAACAAATCCACCCGTTCAGCTGAAACATGCTGGAGTCAAATGTTGTGCATAATCATAATGTCGACACAGCACACAGCACCATTCCTGTACAAATATTCAGGTTTGTTACAACATATTAATGAGCAACAACAGCTTGTGAGTCAGGGTAATAATTTGTATTTATTATTTACGTAAATACTACACTCCATTACATAATACTACATTGTTATTGAAAATAACATTTTTGACTAATATCGTCTGAAACGCCTTTAGTATTTTAAGGCGGAACTGTTGCGTTGGGCTTTGAGGGGAAGGGTTTTCAGGTCGGACCCGGTTGTTGCTTACATTTTTCAGGAAGGAAACTGCTCCGGTGAGTGTTTTCTTCATTACACTGAGCTCTATGATGCTGTAGTTTGTCCTTAACAATAGATGAGCACAAGTTTTACCACAAAATACTTTTTGTCATGTTCTACTGTCAGACAGGAAAAAGCGACCCGCGAAAATATGGTGGTTTAAAGGCCGGTGCAGCTAACGTTAGCCGCGCAGTGCTAACATCATTCAACAACATTTACCGTTGACAGCGAGTTAGCAAGGCGGCTAAAGACGGCAGCACGTCAACTCCCTCACCGCTGACAGGCCGGGTGTCTGTCATACAGCTGTATTGTTCTTCCTTCACAGCCGTTGTTAGCATAAAGTCTTGAGAATAAAAGCTAGTGTTAACACTAGGTTAGCTTGGAGTAAGCTAGTGCTAAGCTAAACAGCCTATTATTACGTCATTTCGCATCTATCTATCCATCTATTAGTGGCACAGCTGCCCCGCAGCACATGATCCAACGGCCCCGAAGAAAACAACAGGATTCAAAGGCGTTTAAAGAAGATTAATGTCTAGTTGAGTTACAGTCTTCAATTCGTTTCGATTCAATTAATTACCTTTATTGTCATTGCTCAGTGTACAAGGAAATGAACCGTCTCCTGTGATACATACAGTAACATAACTACAGACAAGTAGACACATTACAGTCTGTATGAATAAACATAAAACAAACAGTTAATAGTATAAAAACAGAATGAATACATGTGCTCAGTTGTATTGCACAGATATTGCACGTGTACAGGATGAGACAGGTTAGGGTTATGATTACAATAATAATAATAAGCTTTATTCATACAGCACCTTTCAAAACACAGTTACAAAGTGCTTTACAAGACAAGATCAAGGTGAGGAAGAACAATAACAAATGAATGAAAACAGTTAAAAGGTTTTACAACATGGGGGGATCTAAAATAATTAAATTAATTGGTGAAACAGGATAACGACTTATTATAATAATAGATTTAAAACATTAAATACTTATTATAGCCTGATTATTCAGCAGTTTAGTTCCTCTGATGGCACTTGGATAAAAACTTGCAGCAGAGTGAAGAGGTGGTGACCTGGGGGAGATGAGTTCATGTTGGTGATGTTTGTGACGGCGGGCGGTGATTTCACGTCGACACACCCAGGCTGAAGGTCCTAGGTTCAGGTCTGGAGGCTGAGAACAAACCATCTGTTTAGATCCCAGACCTCACCACAGAACCCTCCTCAGTATCTCAATCACATTTTCATGATCACTTGTTTAACTTCATTCAAGAGACCAAGAGACAATCTACAATCTTCTTCTCGCTTTGAAGAGGAACCGGATGTTTTGTAGAACAGCTTACATCATTGTAGCTCTCCCTTCATTATCTATTATTACAGAATTTTTACTTAATTGAGATTATGTACCTTGATTTTGGAAATATTTAGTTTACTTCGGTACATTCCTATTTTGTTTGATCCCATGAATAGTTTTCTTAAAATGAAAATCCAAACAGTTTAATATATTATATATAGATTGCACAACATCAAATTACACGTACCATAATTAAGGTTTTTATTCCTTTCATGTGCCTTTATAACTGGTACCAACCTGGAGTATTGAATAATGAAGACTGTCAGTTATTTCCTCATTTAAATAGGAAACTTTTTTTAGCTTCAGACTTTATTTCATTTAGGTAAAGTCCTTTGTTTCACACTGATGCACTGAGAAAGGAGAAGGGGTTAAAATCAGTTTATATTCTCCAAACCAAGTTTGGAAAAAGCTTAGTCTTGGTATCTGGTAACTGGTCTTCTGCTGAGACTTCTCAGATGGTTGAACGCTCTACTTGAGTCATGGATTAAATCTAGATTTAAAAAACAGAAGCTCGTCCTCTAATGTTTTCTCTCTCTTCACTAGCAGGCGGAGGGATGAGTCTCTCCCCTGTGATTGGCACAGAAGTGCCAGAGACAGCTAACGGGGTTGTGATACCCGTTGCGTCGGAGAACGGCCCTCATGTTTCAGTCTCTGTGAAATGTGGCGGGAGCAGAGCGTCCTGTCCTGGGGAGGGATCAGAGGACGGCTCCTTCAGATACACAGAGAACCACGTGGATGTGGAAAACAGAGTTTACGACTGCGACGGTCGCCTGGATACAGAGATGGCCATTAACGAGAGAACGTCTAACTTATCACTGCACAACCCCTGGATAACGGACCCCTCCCGCCCCGGCACCACATGCACAGGAATCTCAGAATCAGGATCCATCAACAGAAACATTCCTGAGGCCTCTAACGCTGTCGAGCCTCCTGGTGCAGCTCTGCCGTGGGACCCAGCACACACCAAAGACTCATCTCAGCGAGCAGGCCCTGTCACCGCAGACGGACAGCAGACAGAGGCGGAGACTGTGGACGGAGGCAGTGACAGCCGAGAGGAGGAAGAGGAGGAGGAGGAGGAGGAGGAGGATGGAGAGAAGGAGAAACAGGATGAGGAGGATGCTGAGAAGACTGAAAACAAGTGGAGGAGTCAGTACGGAGGAGGGAGGACGCAGAGGGAGGTGAGTGAACTGAAGGACTATTTTTCTGACATGAAATCTTTAATATTTATATATATATATATATATACAATATATATATATATATTATATATGTGTACCAGGGAGAGTGGAGGGCATAAGAGGGAGTGACAGTCAACAGATATAATGAGCATCATCTGAACCACAGCGGCAGCTCTCAGCCTCCAGCTCATGACCCATTTAAAAATCTCTAAAATGTTGATCCCACATCCGACGCCGTAACAGAACAGAGGACAAATACTTCGTTCTCAGAGAACCTTTTATTTTAACGATAACGATCAAATATTAAATCAAATCAAATGAACATGAGAATTTCAGTTTTTCTTTTTTCCTTGACATTGGAGAGATCACTTTAATTCTTCCTGTTGCTAACCAGCTCTCCATTTTGACTGAGACAGAAAACAAGTACACGATGTGGTCCGCCCGGCAACAACATAAAAGTTCCTATCATTGGCTGATCACAGGACTTAATAGGAAAACAAAATAATGAAAAGAGTTTGTAAAACATTTTCAATGTTTTTAAAGATCATCACATTTAAAACATTTAAAACCCTTAAAAATATTTATTTTTAATAATGACATCTCTTCACCAAAACTGTTCTGTTTTGCAAATGATTTGTCGGCCCACTTGTCATACCCTCGCGGCCCAGCAGTGGGCCTCGACCCACAGGTTGGGAACCACTGAACTACAGCATGTTGAAAGACTTTGTGTGACAGACAGGCAGGAAGCTGTCCATCAGAGAGGAGCGTGGGTAATAAACAGTGCTGTGTTTCATGATGTTTTGTCACGTGATGTTTTTAACTTCTTCTTTTCCACTTCCTCTTGTTCTCTCCGTTTTTCACTCACCTCCACTTCAGTCTTCACGACACTACTCGTCCTCAGCCCCCGGTCCCAGCACCTCCTCCTCTTCCTCTTCCCCTCCTCCTCATCTTCCCTCAGATGACGCCCCCTGCCCTCCCCACGTCATGGCCCAGGTCTGGGTTCGCAACGTGCGAGGGATGCAGGACAGCAAGAGCCTGGATGAAATCAGCCAAGCGTGCGGAGGTAGATGTCTGTCCTCTCCTGACGACTGTGAAACTTTATTCAGTAAAACAAGGAAGTTAAAGAAAAGCAGTGGAAGTTGAATTTCATATTTTAAACGAATCAATGATAATTGGCCGTATTATTCAGCTGATGTTGGGATATTCTCCGCAGGCGGTTCGGGCGCCCGGGGAGGGGGCAGGAGTGGGCAGTCAGAGGGCCGACGGGCCACAATCTCCTCGGCTCTGGAGCTGGAGGGGACGGTCAGCCATGAGGGAGACCTGACTAACTTCATCACCAAAAACCTGGAGCAGAAGATCAAGATGAGCTCCAAGCCGAGTCTGGACTGCAGCGACTGTGAGTAAACGTCACAGCATTTTACTTTAACATGTGAAGTCACTTCTTTCATCACTGTAATTCAGACCCCAGTTACTACAAGTTTCATTTTTAATAGTTTAAAAACATAAATTTAACCTAAACTTTTAAATGGAGACGATTCACAGGAAGTGGGCTTGTAATACAGTCTGTACGGATGTTGAGCTGCTTTCATGACGGCTTCATATTTTTTATATTTGAGGGTCAGAGACTCTGACAGATGAACGGTTTGTATTTTCCTTTTCCTCTCAGCAGGTTAACGGTGTATTTACAGTCAGTGCTGGTGGAACTGCAGAGCGTCTGACTGTCACAGCCCGTTTCTCTGCATCATCACTCATCATTTATGCATAGCTCTGGTCATGTCCCGACCATTAGAAGTAATAGAGAATCAATGCACCATATTAAGCAAATGAATTGCTGTGTGTGTTGGTTTATGATGAAGTGATGGAGGCCGACGTGAATCATCTGCAGCGGTTTGTCGAGTTCGCTGATCAGAGCAAAATTCACTTCAAATAGTTTTTCATCAGATTTTCCTCATTTTGTTTTCATCCATCTCTAACACTGTTTCACGTGTGTGTGTGTGTGTGTGTGTGTGTGTGTGTGTGTGTGTGTGTGTGTGTGTGTGTGTGTCTGTTCTCTCCATTTTTTTTTTAAATATCTTTATTTTAAACTCAGGCTGTTGCAGTAAATAATAGAATAGAGGAACACAGGTAGGAATGATATGCTGCTAATATAATGCAACAAATAATTTCAACACTAGTAGTAATAAGAGCGACAGTGAGGTTCAGTAAAAAAAAAGTTTAAAATGATCATATTAAAGGATAGAATAAGAAACAGCAGAATGAGTGGTGTCGTGATCACAGAACATAAACAGCTTCTCCAGGTTCCTGCTCAGGCGTCTGTCCCCGAGGACACCTGAGGATTCGTCTGATGTCAGGCTCATACTGTCTGTAGTTTTACTCTCGTTGATTTTAAAGTCAGCTGGTTGTCCTGTGTGGTGCGCCACAGTTTGGGAACGAGGAAAGAGTTTAGAGAAACTCCCCTTCAAACAAGAAAACCACAGGTTTGCTCACAGAAACCATTCGACTCATTTAGAGTCATTTTTTAACCAAAGAATTCAAACACTACGACGGCTCCTGACACTTTTCCATGCAGGTTAAATTAGCTGCAGATGGTGTTTTAAAGAGGCTGCAGAGACTCAACCCCAGAAATTAAAACAGATATTTTTTTCACACACGTGCAGCACTGTCATAAATGAAATCCTCTCTGTGGGTTCAGCAGCTGGCCCGAGTCCGGCCCGTCCATTAGCAGCCGTCTGTCTTGTCACATTTTCCAGGAGAGAGACAACGAGCCGCTGCCCTTCATTCAGAGAGGAATCCCTCTGGATTAGAGAGTCAGCTCAACCAGCCACTCGATTTAAACGCAGGACAGTAGTCGCTGCCCTCTGCTGCAGCTCGTTCCCTCTACCTGCTGATTCAGTTACGATGGATGAGTCACAGACTTTGTTTAGACTGGAGGGACTCATTACTGAGGTCCTGCCGCAGCCTGAAAGAATCTGTCTCAGAGATGGAAACTAGTTCCTGAGCTCGGCCGGCCGCCGCGTTCTGTTCATTCCAACATCTAACGACTCCAGGCGCAAACGATCTGGTGGTTAAGAGCCATGATTTATTTAAATTAGTCTTTTTATAAGAGCAGCTGTTTCTTCAGATGGGAGCAGTTCCTCCGCTGTGGATAGTGTGTGTGTGTGTGTGTGTGTGTGTGTGTGTGTGTGTGTGTGTGTGTGTGTGTGTGTGTGTGTGTGTGTGTCTGTGAGTGTCTGTGTGTGTGGGTCCCCTGTGTGTGTGTCTGTGTGTGCCTGTGTGTGTGTGTGTGTGTGTGTGTGTGTGTGTGTGTTAGGCTGACAGTTGTTTGTCTTTGAGCAGAAATGAAAACACAGATGATTTTCTGTTTCTCTCTGTTTTAATCTTCAGAGATGAAACATCTTGTGTTGGTTTTGTTATTCAAACAAAATAAGATCTTGTGACGAGAATGTTTCACTGTTTTGATTCGTAGATTTCACTATTAATACATGAACCAAAAGAATAATCAATGTAAGTATCAGTTGTATATTGTCCGTCTAATTTCCTGCTGGTTTCTCACCAGCCGACTGTTCGGGTCCCATCTACCGGAGTCGGGGGTTGTCCCGGAGACCGGCAGACATCCCGCCGATCGATCCCGCCGTCCTGGTGGACCTTCAGAGACACACACAGGAAGTGGCGCAGAGTGTGGAGATGATGATGCGGAGCCTCAACGGAACCATCCAGAACGTGAGTCTACAAGTGACCCGGGTCGTGGTTCAGACTGTGCTTAGCTTCATCTCTGTGTGTTTAGATGATGTAAATGTGTGTATGTTATATGTTGTTACATACATACTGTACATACATATATATTTCTCACCCACACGTCTGTTGTAATTGTTTCTGTCTGATCCAGATGACGGCTCTGAGTGTCGGCTACATCCAGACCTACAGAGACTCGGTCGACAGCCTGGGAGAGTCTGTGGACATGAGTATAAAGGTGTGTGTGTGTGTGCGTGTGTGTGTGTGTGTGTGTGTGTGTGTGTGTGTGTGTGTGTGTGTGTCACAGGTCTTGTCATGTGGGAAATAAAGAATTCTCCACACTCTCATCACTCACTTTATTGACGACACTGTCAATAATCACTTTAACTTGATTCGCTCTCGGTTCTTTATTGACGGTTCTGTCAGTGAGAACTAGTGATGGAGAACGTGCAGAACTCTTTGTTTTATTTCTGATTCGTCACTAAGACTTTGTTGTAGATCTCAGTGGTTGAAATCTTTTTCTTGATTCTGAAAACAACATAACGGAGATAAAACGACTATTGTGCCGCATCCCTCCATCCACTTCCTGGTTACGTTAGCGACGTATGAAGGAGAGCGTCATCTTGAGTCCTCGGACCGAGTTACTGAGCAGAATATGTTGAATATAGTTTATCAACATGTTGAATATATGTTTTGTTGGTGCAGTGAACTACAACATGTTTGATCTCATTTATTTTTATGTGCTATTTTTATTTACTGAATATATGTTTAGTGGTTCTCAGTAGGTTGTGGACGTACACGAGCGTTAATCTTATCGCAGCTAGGGAACGACGTTTAATATCCACCGTGTCTGCGTCTTCTAACGTAACACCATGCGTCTCCCTCTTCCTGTTTCTCTGAGCGTTAGCACAGCGAAGAGGTTCAGGGCAGCGAGGAGAGAATAGTTCATGGATCACGGATTCTGACGGATTAAAAAACGCAAAGCAAATGTCAGAGTCGGCACATACACCTGGGAGGCCGTTAATATTTAATAAACCCGAGTGACCCCAGCTAAAGTCTATGAGTGAGGAAACCCTGGATCCTTGTCATGTTTTCATAATCTTGTCTGTATTAAAGCAGCAGCTGTTTCTCTGCCTCCCTCAGGGCATGTACACGCTGATGGCTCGCTGCGAGGAGCTGGATCGTTCCATGCAGCCCATACACACCCTGGCCGCGCAGATCCGCGACATCAAACGCACCCTGGACGCTCTGGAGGCGATCTGCAAGTAACCCTCAGCATGTCTGGTAGAAAAACACACCCCAGCTGCAGACATCCAACATCAAGCACATTGTGAACGAGGCCGTCTGCAAGTGGCTCCACCCCTCCGCAGGTACCACACACACACCGCAGCGAAGATTAAGTGCACCTCTCCGGGAGTCCTGGAAACGTTGCTACTAGGCATGCTGGATGATTGGCGCTCATAGTCCCTCGCTTGTTCATTGTCTGAAGGTGACCATGTTTGTGTTGTGACCAAACGAACTGCGCTTGATTGGCTCTCGAGTCTGAGCTTTTCCTCCTCCCTTTTCTTTTAAAAGCCACGTCTCTTATCACATGTGTCAGATCAAACCTTTTCTGGAGACGCTTGATCGAGTGCTCTGAACACACACACACACACACACACACACACACACACACACACAGGAGGGATCGTGTGTTGTTATCCGTCCAGCCCGCTTGGTTCAGATTGCACTAACCCGCCCTCCCCACACGGGGGCGATGTTTCCCGCTTCTCTCTGTCTCACGTGGAGAGACCAGAACTAACTGCTCAGAAGACAGAGACTTTTGCACAGGAACAGAAAGTCTATTTTTTAATCTTATGCAACGAAGATCAGATTCTTTCACTGTCGGCTGAATGAAGGGAGGAGGAGTGTCACGTCTGTCTGTCTGTCTGTCTGTCTGTCTGTCTGTCTGTCTGTCTGTCTGTCTGTCTGTCTGTCTGTCATGTTTATTTATTCAGTTTTCTCAGCTTGCGTGCGTTTTCAAAAACAATGCTTCTCTGTCATTGGGAGCTGATTCTTCCACTGGAGCGTTTAAGCGTAAATTAAAGCTACAGAAGAACATCTGACACAGACGAGGAAAGTGATTTATTTATTTATTTTTATTTATTTTTTTAGGTCAAATCGACGCACGCAGCCAGATTTAAAATTGGAGGCAGCAAAGTGATTTCAAAGTACAGATACCAGTTCTTTAAAATGAACAGACAGAGAGAATCTGAGTGACAACTATCTGAAAGGGACAGCTGTGGTTGTGTTCATGTTCAGTCGGTGTGTTTCCTGCAGTAGAGTCAGCTCAGAGCAGCAGGAGGACCAGGAGTGGTTTAGACACTTTTAAAAGACGCCCAGTGAAACAATCCAACATCTGTTTAAATGAAGCTTCATGTAGAAGATTTTACATCTTCATCTTCCCGTCAAAACAAAGTGAAGTTTATCTCTTCCTGATTCAGTCAGCTGACCTGAGGCTGCGGCGTATTACAGTGCGCTCTGTAGGTGCACTTGTGCGTAGGAATACAGTAGTTCAGTGGCTGAGAAAATGTAGTGCCAAAGGAAAGTTCTGTTTCACCAGGAAGATGAAGATGAAAATCTTCTACATGAAGCTTCATTTGAACAGATGTTGGTTTGTTTCACTGGCGTCTTTTAAAAGTGTCTAAACCAGGTGTTTTCTGCTGGCCCCGCCCACAGCAGCTCATCACTCTGCTAGTGCAGCGGTCCTCCTGCTGCTCCTCGAAACTGACTCTACTGCAGGAAACACACCGACTGAACATGAACTTGAACCACAACTGGCCCTTTAAGATAGCTGTCACTCAGATTATCTCTGTCCTTTAATTTTAAAAAACTGGCATTGAAAACTTTGAAATCACTCGGCTGCGTCTAATTTTAAATCTGGCTCCGTGCGTCGATTCCGCCTAAAAAAAAAAATCACATTTTGTGTCAGATGTTCTTCTGTAGCTTCACAGCGGCTTTAAATATTTGAAAAGCTTCAGGTACTTTAGGATTTGACTTTTAGATGTCATCAGAGGTGAAAACACCTGATATGCAAATGACAGATCGATTCAGCCAACCTGCAGATTTCTCATGAAATCTGAAGCCACTGAAAGTCGTTTGATCCCCAGGCTTTTTTCATTTCCAGCTGACAAACTGCTCAGTGTCGTTAATTGGATTGTGTTGCTTCAGTTTCGATTCAGCCAGTTTAAAGGAATAATAAATGTATTAGAAGAGCTCAATTTCAAAACGCATTTTTAATCCATTAAATTCTTCTTGGCACTTTGCTAGTGACTTTACATTAGCTGCTAATCTTCAGCCGTTTATGGATGAGCTTGAGGTTCTGGCTGCGACTGCAGCTTTGACTCCTGTGAAATGGTGGATACCTGAATTTGGCACCAAACTCTGTATTTCCTCTGCATTGACTACGTGTGTATTTGAATGTTGGGAAATCTGTAAATTAAACTCAGATCTCTTGAAGTTTGCTTCTGAAATTACACAACAACAGTGGAGTTGGTTTTGTTTACGTCACAATGGAAACGATTGAAGTTAAATGTGGACGGAGTCGAGACGAAGCCTGTGGACGTCAACTAACGTGGACGTTGATTATTTATTAGTTTCAAAGACACTGAACGACTGGAAGATTATACTGGATGTGATGAAGAGACTGTGCTACCTCCGTCACTGCACGGGTGGGTCGCCTTGTACTAGATGTTCATCCGTGTGCCTGCTGACGGCAGGCAGTATGTGGTTTGGCTTGAGTAGTGTCAGTGGTGTTGTCATATCTTTCTTCAGACCTGATTTCATCTGCAGAACGTTATCAGAGCAAAGTCACGTGTTTTAATCTTGATTCTTAAATCTGCTATAAAATGCATCTTTTTCAAAGCGTCACCTTTGGTTGAACCTGCAGCAGCAGCGTGACTCGTCTAAAGCAGAGGTTCACAGCCCTCTCCACCTCAGGGTCCGCTGGGAAATCTCTAAAATGTTTACGTACCACAGCCGACCCCGTAACAACATGAACTGTCTGATTCTCCACTTTTTGCCACGGATGAATCATTTAGTTCCTGTCACCGGCCGATCACAGCGAGCCGCCTGAATATGAGGAAAAATATTGTTTGTAAACATTTTTTATATTTTTTAAAGATCATTTTGTTTCAAAACCAGACCAGGTTCTCAATCTGTGGCCCGGGGGCCACTGATGGGCCACGAATGTATTGCAAGTGGGCCGACAAATCATTTACAAAACAGAACAATTTTGGTGAAAAGATGTAAATAAAAAGATATATTTAATTAATTAATGTTTTGTTTTGAAACAAAATAATCTTTACAAAATATATTTATATTATGTATATAATTTTTTCTCATATTAAGGTCTATCACTGTGATAACTCTTTCATGTTGACGCCGGCCGGACCTCATCACATGCATGCTGCTCTCTGTCTGGTTGAGCACTAAATGATTCCTCCAAGACAAAAACTGCAGAGTGAAGAGATGCTCTGAGAACGACGTTATTGTCCTCCATGTTGTTACTGGTCGGATGTGCGCCGCCAACATTTTAGAGATTTTCCCAGAGTGTCCCTGGGTTGGAGAAGGTTGTGAACCTCTGGTCTGAACTGTCTCTACACGCAGCTCTGCAGCTTTTAATAATGTGGTTTCCCTACAACAGGATCAGATCACGTTAATGGCAGCACATGTAACATCTGCTCTTCGTCTCCTCGTCGCTCTCTTCAACGTTTTTGGAAAAAGTTTGTGAAACTTGTTGTCAAAGAGAGAGAAGCATCATTAAAACGCTCATACTAAAGTCTATAATCCTCCTGGTTCCCCAGATGATACTGAGATTGACTCAAACATGTGTGAGGCTGTAAAGATGAAATGATCTTTTGCTAATAAAGGTGGAAACGTCCAGAGGAGGGGACGTTTGTGTCGGTGGACTGTGGAGGAGAGGAGGATCCTCGACGTGGGAGATGAGAGGAAATTCATTCTCTTGTTCATAATATATATAAACGTACGACTCAATCAGATGCACCTGTGTACATATGATCTCTTTCTGTAACTAAAAATGATTTAGATACCCTTCGTCTTGAGTGTATATTTTAATGAAAAATAACAAATAAATTTACATGAGCTGCAAAAACAAAACGTGTCAGTGTTTTTTACATCAGTCTGAGCTCTGGAGGACGAGGACTGGGAGGAAGACTTAGAAAAATATTTACATATAAACAGATTGTCTATTAAGGACTGACGTGTTTGTCCTTCGAATGAACAGATACTGCATTTATAACAACCACATTCATATTTAAAGGGACTTAATTACATGCTGGTGTGACTAACGCAGCTTCTTCACAGGAGACATTTTGACTTGTCAGAGACGGAGAAGCACAGATGTTGTCAACGTTAACGACGGGGCTGCGGTCTGCTCTGATCTCTGCAGTTCATTTTTTCTATTTAATTATTATTTACTGGCTCAATTTTCTCTATTTGTATTTTTCTTTCATGTTTTCTTATTTCTATGTTTCTCTCCCGTTTGTTTTTGTCTCTGTGGTTAGTGACGGAGGACTCATCGCTCTTGTGATAAAGTTCAGGTTGAGAGCAGTGCTGATGAATTCTCCTTCACATCTTTGACCGCAGGAAGTTTTCCGTCGAGGAGTCGTGGTCAGGGAGATCATTTAGACTTTTCGACCGCAGCCCAGGACTCTGAAACCGAAGCAGCTAAATGGAATTCAGCCATCCTTCATTTTCTTATTTACACCTGTGCTTTTCCTGCTGTGACTTTGTTGAGTGGTGCAGTTCCTGCAGAGCTCAGGCAGAGGGCGCTGGAGAGCTCCAGTGATTCCTGCTGGAGTTCAGCCGAGCGGCTGCAGTTAGTGACATTTGTCTGATGTAAAGTGATGTTTTTTTGTTTACACACATTCTGTTTGATTGAATTTGAATGAAGACATGCGGCTCTCACACTTTAAACCACAACTCAATGCACAAATTAAATCATTTTATGGGCAACATCTCTGGTAAATTAAAGGTTTGATTCATCCACATTAGAAAAGAGCAGAAGTTGCCATGACGTCAGGTGGTGCAGATAGATTTTGGTTTTTTGTCCAGATTTTGACGGATTGTTTCTGAGATGTTTCTGCTGATGTCCAGATAAAATGAGAGGAATTTTATTTGTGGTGCAAAAACAAAATTAAAAACTGTCCCAGATAATTTGGATAATCTCAAGAAATAGTCCCAGAGATGTTGACAGCAGTTTCTTTCCTTTCTTTGTTTGTTTGTTTGTTTGTTTGTTTGTGTGGTGAACCCAGCACATCTATTTATTGGACAGAGAAACTCTTCACTACACGAGGCTTTAAAATGAAGAAATAATTTCCACATAACAAACACTGACGAGTAAATGGAGAAACAAAATGTGCAAAGACAATAAAAGCTTTTGTGTATCTGTGATCGGACGACTGTCGGGCTGATGTCATGTGACAGTCAGCTGATAGCAGCACACTGACAGGTCAGTCTAAGGAGTCGTTGCTCCTTCCTGAAGGAGGTGTAAATACAGCCAGCAGAAACTGTCTCTTGGCACATCCACTGAGGTTTGGACTGAGTTTGTTCTCCTTTGTGTTTTGTGATATTCAGGTGACGTTGAGCTACAGAGCAGCACACCTGCAGCCAGCAGGGCCTCACTGTCTTGCTCAAGGGCACTTAAGAAGGGCTGTTACAGCCCAGACCTTCCAGGTGAAGGCTGGTTTGTTTCACAGTTTAAGGTTCCAGGCATCGACTTCCAGCCACCAGCAGCAGCAGGACAGTCAGGTGGGGGGCACTCAGTGGATGTGTGCCTCCGTCTGTGGGCAGCTCCAGGAGACCTGCAGTACCTGGGGAACTGCTTCCTCTAAGCTCAGGCACTGAGGCTCCTTTTGTTGCAGAAGCTACTGTGGAAGCGGTCGTAGTTCCCGCCACATCTCCAGCGTTTTCTTCTGCCGTTCCCCCGACAGATGCTCCGTCTTTGGGGGACTGCTGGTCTGCGACTTCCCCGTCTGCCGTCTTGTACCACTGACACTGGAAGTCTTTCTTCCACATCTCGGCCGGGTCTGGTTCAGCTGGTTCAGCTGGTTCAGCTGGTTTCGTGTCGGCGTCCGGCTGATCTGTGGCTTTTGCTGCTTCTGCCTGGAAACGGTGATAAAATAAAATGAACATTAACAAACTGTTCACAGAAGTCAATATCTGTATGATTAAATAATGCAACTAAAATCCAAAAGGATTTCTGCATTTACAGCCACATTCATACTTAATATTCTGTTGTACTTTTTATGAATATTACCGACAGCCCATCCAGAGATTTGCAGAAAGTGATGAGTGTTCCCAGAGAAACACAGTGTTCCTGTTTTCACTGGTACACGATCAAACTTCAGCAAATCCTCTGTCGTGTCTCAGCTGCTGCTTTTCTTTCTGCTTTCTTACTTTTTAAACACCAAAGATCCTCAGGCAGCTGGACTCCCTGCAGCTTTTTATTTTTTATATATATAAATAAAGTCACGCCTGGTTGTCTTTATCAGTCGTGACTCAAACTGAGTTGTTCTATTTCCAACTTTCCTACATAAGTTGCGAACTTGTTTGTCTTCACACGTGTGGAAACGTTTTTATGAGTCAACTGTTCATTGGAAGAAAAGTGTGAAAGTCAAAGAGGAAATCAGGTCGATTTTTCAAGAGCATCGGCTCTTTATCTCCCCAGTCTCATGTGCTTGTGTTTGTTTCATATACGTTCCTAAAACTACGGTGGCCCTGAAGCTCGACTCAAGAAAACAACCACGTGCAAACAGACAAAATACAAACAAAGTTCAGAAAACATCTTCATCAGTTTGACATTAACACACGAGCTGCAGAACCTCTCAACACAACAGGAAGTGTTTCCAGGGGACACTGAAAAGTGATGCGCGTACCATGAAGGTGTAGTTCTGACCTGTCCTGTCTCTCTCTCTCACTGTCACTATCAGAATTAAGGAACAAGTGTGTCCCAGCCTGGTCCGTCACTTTTTACTGTCCCCCTGGGAACACTTCCTGTTGTGTTGTGAGGTTCTGCAGCTCGTGTGTTAATGTCAAACTGATGAAGATGTTTTCTAAATGCTTCTGTGTTTTCTTGAGTTGCAGCGTGTTGAGCTTCAGGGCCACCCTGGAAAACGGCTTTTTTCAATTTATATTAATGAGTAAATTAAATTTTAAAGCGCCACAAACTGCAGCCACCAAACACCTGAATCAACACAAACTGAACATGATGTAGCTGCTTCTGCAGAAACTGAGTGTCAGTTGGACGTGTTTCATCGTCGGACTCTGAAGGCCTCCATATGCGCTGCAGTGCGTCATGGGTAATGACACAGCTGCTGTGATGACGCTGTCAGTGAGCGAGGATGGAGCGAGTCAGCTCTCCATTTGAACGAGCGTGAACAGCAGCAGTGATAACTGGGCTTTAAAAACCCAGCACTAATAATCTACTTAAATTTACATTTCCTCACCTTTTCCGTCACCTTCTCCACCACGTCCACCGGGGGCGGGAGGTGGAGATAGGCGGAGCTTTCCGGGTTCTGACGGACGCATCGGCCCTTTCCCTGGCACAGAGATGCTGAGCAGAGTCGAGTCGCCGTGGTTACGTTGATGGAGTAGGGTCCCAGGACCTTGCGGACAAACTCTGCCAGGTCCTGACACTCTCTCTGGGAAAGGAACAGGAAGCAGGAACAGTGGTGTGTGTGTGTGTGTGTGTGTGTGTGTGTGTGTGTGTGTGTGTGTGTGTGTGTGTGTGTGTGTGTGTGTGTGTGTGTGTGTGTGTTGGGGGGGCAGATATGTTTCCTTTATAACATTCAGGTGTTTTCTTAAAACAGGAAGAAAACAAATGAAGTACGTTGATGGAAAAAGAGAAATACTAAAACTTTTTGTTTACAAAGTGAAATCATCATGTATAAATAACAATAAACATACAGACATATTTGTGGGTGTGAGCACTTTATACAAATGTACATGTGTGTACCTCCGTCTTAGTCTCACTTCTCTCCCAGATGACGACTCCAGCCGTTCCCATGGCAGCACTTTCTCCGATGGTGCTGACCAGGTCTGTCTGCAGAGAGGAAACACACAACAACAGAGTCACAGCTCTTTTCAACGCTTGTTTGTTACACATCCTCTGTTCTTCAGGCTCAGGGGCCGCTCGCACAAAACACCTTAAGTTTTCTACTTAAGTCTGACGCTTAAGGTTGAATTTCTCCTCAGCTGAGGGAGTTACTCAAGGTCGTTGCACAGAATCTCTTACAGGAAAAACATTAAGGCGTTTGCAGCAGTGAAAGAGATTTTACAGCTGTAAAATTCTACAGTTTCCATGGAGACAGTTTCTGGCGTTAGCGCTTGTGATAGCCGTGAACACCTGTCACTATCTCACCTGTGTCGTCTCAGAGTCGGTCAGAAGAAAAAACATGTCAGAAGAAAAGAAAGAAAGGAAACCAAAGTGTTCAGAGGAGGAAAAGAAGAAACTTCTAGAAGAAAAGCAGAAAACTCGTCCTGAAAAGTAAATCTGATCCACAAACGTCCAACAGACGCTCGGTGAACGACACGGCTCACAGCTGATCGATCGACATGAAATATTTCACCAATAATCGACTGTAAAGATCCGCAGCATCAAACCACAGAGTGATCATTAACTGCAGAGGAGCTGAAGACACAGCTGATCTGTGATCAGATCACAAACTGATACTGATCAGATCAATAGAGAGAAATCAATAAATCAGTTCCTCTGGTTGAGGCTCCATCAGGTTCCAACTCTTCATTGATCAACATCAACTCAGAGGAACCTGAAGTTCCTGTTTGACTGACTTTAAGAGATTCCTTGAGTAAAGACTAAGATAAGGAGAAAACCCTCAACACTTTAAGGAAACGTCGAGGAGAAGACTTAAGGTGTTTTTATTTGGAGGAAACCTTAAGTTGAACTTTAAGGAAACTTCTTGTGCTGAACTTTAATACGTTCAGTTTGAATTACAGTGATAATAAAGTCTCAGCTGTAATTTGAGGAGGTTCACAGGAATGTAGAAAGACAGTATTCATCACATGACGTCCTCCACCTTTTACTGCCGACCAACACCAATAATAAAACATTTACAGCCCTTAATTAATTAACTTTTCTCTTCTCTGAATCAAACTTTGAGATTAACGATCCAGAAATAATCAGAGTTATAATCAAATATAATCCTGGACTCCTCCTCTCTCCCTCCTGTTTGTGCTGCTCCTGGATCAGATACTGGACACATCAGATGTTTAATCTCACCTGTGACAGGAACGTGTTGGTTGAGGCATAGACGCTCTTGACCAATGGGAACACAGGAAGATCAAACGCCGTCCCAGGCAGAGAGGACACTCGTAGTGCTTCTCTTATTAGACTGGATAAATAAAGCCTGGCTCCAGCCGTCCCCCCCTGCAAAGAGGGACATATTGTTCACATTTAAACCAAGCTTAAACTGAACTAAACTAAATCATGTTCCACAACCTTTTCCTGCATTACAAGCTCTGGGGTCTCAGACATGTTGGTTTGCACCAACTTTGACAAAGAGAAGTTTTGTAACTTTTTCCCTCAGCGGTAAACCAGTTTTTATTTGACAGATTATTGGTTTTACGTTGGGAGTCGTCTGTCAGCTGTCATCACATGCTACAAACAAACCTGAGGGAGACAGCAGGACGTGATCCGTCCTTCATATCCATCTGAGTTTATACGGGAGACTGGGGACGGGACAAGTCTTATTCCTCCAATCAGAAACATGCTAGAGTGATGACACTCATACTGCACTTGCTCAGTTTGTTTTTTTGTCAAAGTGTCCTGAGCTTTTTATAAATGAATGAAAACTGAGTTTGAATCTTTGTTTTGTCGTGTTTTAAATGACGTTAACGCGTCTCTCTTATTCTCTGTCGTGTTATATTTATATACGTTTAGCTTTGAGGTGTCAGTGGGTATGACAGTTAGTAACGGAGAGACAAACTGAAAGTGGCGTTGACCCACCTGCAGCTTCTCCAGGGTGAGGAGGGGGTAGAGGGCGGAGCTTCGTTTCCACAGCCACAGGAGCTCGTCGTTGAGGGTCATCTCTGCAGGGGGGCACTGGCCGGTGTAATTGGCTAACGTGGTTTGGGCGGGGTCGCCGCTGTAGCAGCTGGGGTAAGGGGAGACGCCCCATAATGCTTTGGGCCGTAACCTTTTGACCTCTCGTAGTGTCTCCGTCATGACTGACTGGGCTGCTGCCTCGAAGTCCACCTGTGATGAGATCAACAGTCAACCTCTCAGTGGAATTTAAAATAATACACAGAGAACATAAACAGTTTACATGATACACATGGAGGATAACGTATGTTCTGTGATGGAGGATTTTATCTGTATCTGCTCCACCATCTCCCAGCAACATCTCCACCCATGCTTCCTCAACCCACTTGTGTTTCTCCCTTATTCCCTCTTGCCACAGCGCTTGCTGTCTTCCACCACCCGCCATTTTCATCCCATCTTTACCTGGATGTTTCTTACCTGTGACCACCTCTCCACCTCCTCTGGGGTCCAGTTAGGGAAGAAAGCCTTCAGCAGGTTCCTCGACGCCTCCAGATACATCGTCTTCTTCTCTCGGTTCCTGGACCACTGGGGGGCCCACTCTGACCACCGCAGCACCCCCAACCCCAGATACCTCGGGGCGGGTAAAGCCGCCTCCAAGTCCTGTTGTGTTTTCTGGAGGTGGTTGTCCAGGCGCGTGTACTGCGGCACCCCCCCGTTGACCGGAGTGTCCTTGTCCACAAAGTAAGGGTAGTTCCCCAGAGTGTCCTCGTAGAAGACGGCCACGCGGCCCTCACGCTCCATCCCCAGAGATCTGACGTCTGGCCGACCGGGGCAGGAAGAGTCGGGGATGCCCCAGAAGATGATAAAAGGCTGTCCGGACAGGAGGGGGGGGCGGGCCGGCTGCGGTGGACCAGCTGCACAGAGGTCGGCAAAGGCAGTGAGCAGGAGGACGAGGAGGGGCAGTACAACTGGAGGCTGGAGCGGAGGAATGGTTGATGGAAGAGTTGTGGCTGATGTTTGAGTCCTTAGATTGTAAGGTGTCAGTTTGGATTCTGGTTCTGGTTCTGGTTCTGGTTCTGGTTCTGGATCTGGGTCTGGACGCGACCGTGGCTCGGTCCACGCCATTGGAGCGACCGCCTCTCAGGCTCTCACCCCTTCAGGCCCTCACAGCCAATCATGTTCCTGTGAAACACAGTCGGTCATGTGACGCGTTAAACACAGAGATGATGTTTTACACTCACGTCTCTGCTGAAGGAAAAGTCGCAGAGTGAAGTGTTGGGGGAGGAGGACGGTCCTGAGGGACCGGGACAGTTTGTGTCGACAGACAGGTTGTTGTGTTGATTTACTGGTACTGATGATAAAACCCTGATGTTTACATTTACATTCACTCATTTACAGACGCTTTTATCCAAAGAGACTTACAGGTTCATCATAAAGCTTCAGTGCAGGGTGAGACCGTGGTGTTAGCACTAAGTAATATATCTATTTAATATTAAGATATTTAAAATATGAAATATTGATATGTTAAAATTTCACATACTGTATAATAATATCATGCTGGCAGATGTTCAGCCTGGTGGATCTTTTGTTTATCAGTTCATCTTGTACAGACTCTCTCTCCACCACCTTTCACTCGTCCATTTGCCAAAAACAGACAAAACACACAATGAACAAAGTTATAGATGAATTTGACTGACAGCATTTTTCTATAGATATTGAAATAATATTGTTGTCGTGAATTCTTTTGGCCAAAATAATCGTGTGGTAAAAATCTCATGTCGTGACAGCGACATCTCAAACCTCCACAAACCACAAGGGGTGAGGAAGAAACATTTTTTTATTTCTTGAGTAAACTGCTCCTTCACATCAGTGACTCTGACGTTTTCACATCAAGAACCATAATCAACCTCCCCCCCCCCCCCCCCCCCCCATCAGACCTTTGTGTTGACATGTTTTATTACAGGAAGTGTTTGAAACCCACGAACACAATATTCACACGTTCTGTCACTGTGTTACTTAATGAAATAAATGATTCTCCTGAGGGGACCCACTTTGAGAACCACTGCTTTACATAAACTAGACTTTATATACAATACAGCATCAGTCAGTAATTAGCTTGTTTACTAGCTTAGAAAACTCTTCAGTTTCACCACACAACACAACTGATGCAGACAAGACTGACATCAACAGCAACAACACCAGGATGAGTGTTCAGTATTCTATATTCTATATATATATATATATATATACTCATATACAGTATTCAGTATTGTAACTGCGACTGTCAGGACGAACTAAGTTTGTGCTTGTTGTTATTTGTCACTTCCCTGAGGGATGCTATGGAAAAGCTCACAGGAGGGAGGGATTAATATGTATGTATGCATACATTTTAATACAATATACCATATACATATTTGTTTGGTGGATTTTACTGTTCTTTGCAGTTTTCCTTTGTTACAAACGTTTATGACTTGAAGTAAAAATATACCAACGTCCACCATGTTCCCGTCTACGAAACATTTCCAAGGCGTTCTCACTAAGTCCGAACTCTTTAACTTCTGCTATTGTAGATTATATAATATTTTATAACAATATGAGATTGTTAAGACTGAAATTTATCATGTTTTCATCAAGAAATCTGCACATCATGCCACAGACACAACTGTTAAATCAACATGAATTGTTTCTCGTACCTGACTGTTGCTTTATATGTTGGTTTATCTACAAGAGTTGATCAGTATCTCCTGAAATCTGCTTCTATCTTATCTTTTATTTATTTCAAAGGCTTAAAATCCTTAAAATGTTCTTATTTTCTTCACAAGAATTCGTCTCTTCTGTTCTAAGTGGCTTTAGAAAAATCAGCAACAGATCATAGATTTCTCACGTGCTAGTTAATATTTTGTACACTCAGTGATGCAGGATTCAGTAGATGCAATGCTCACACAGTGGTAAAGGTGTACACCGAAGTTAAGCAGAATAAATACGTGGAAAGCACCAGTGACTCCCACTCCACATGTTCTAATACAAATCATCATTCACTGCCCTGACATCTTGTTTCATCTGTTGACAGAGACGGAAACTCATCTGTATTCTCCTCCCTGTGTCTCACACTAATCTGACACACCAGTCACTTCCTGTTACACAAATCCACAGAAGAAAACAACACGTCTGCTTGTCAGAGAAGAAAACAAAGGTATGAACGATCAAAGAATCATATGTGTTTCAAAAACACAAAACCGAGAGCAAAGCAGTGGTTATATCATTAGAAATCTTTCTGTGTACTTTTGTGTTTTTGTGCAACAAAAAAGCAGAAGAAAAGAAATGCTCCGAGTTTATCCTGATAAAGAAATCATCCAACTGACTTTCTGTGTCATTGAGATGATGTAATGAACAAATTTGCTTAAACCTCTTCAACAATGACGAACTGTCCAGTTTAAACATTAACCAACTCGTTGCTGGTTAAATTCAAAACAACATATTTCTCCTCTCTGTCCTGATTTCACCTCAGTCTTCACACGTTTTGTTTACACCATATGTCTGAAAGCTGCTGTTGCTCTCAGCAAACATGGCTTCTCTTTATCTTCTCATAATTAAAAATGATGTAACCAAACCCAGAGCTCTTTTTGAAATAGATCCAAAGACGATTTGTTTTCCTAAATAAAATATGTTTCCAGTTTGTTTAAGTAGCCAGTTCTATAACTGAGGAACACAGTGAACCTCATGTGATTCCTGTTCCATAAATGTTACCCAGGAACTCCAGTACAGGTTTCCTGCTCAGCCCTTTAGCAATAACGTGCTAAAGATTAGCACTAACTGTCTTCTTCCCAAAGTCGTCCCCTCTACGTTTTCACTAGCAGCCTCACTGTCCTCAGGATACTGAATGAAAACACTTTGGTTAACGACAGCTCCCTTCTGTAATTACAACAGTTGTTAAAAATGGCTGGAAGCTGTAAATATACTTTTACTGCAGGGAAATGTTCCTTTCTGAGTCTAGACCAGCGATTAGAGCTGTCGTCTATGGACCTGACTATTATACATCACTATCTGTAGTTTGACATCACTGAGGAGAAGCTACTGACACTTTAAAGAAACTCATAGACTTGAACAATGAGGCAGGAACTCTGTACTTTAAATACAGACAAGATGCTTTGCTATAAACAACTCTGTATCTTTACAAAATATTCAACCAAAATATATCTTTATCTAATGTATCTATATCTGTATTTGTATTTTAGCTGTTTCCCACACATTCACAGAAAGGCTGGTTGAATAATCAAGTAATAATAATAATAATAATAATAATAATAATAATAGTAATAATAATAACTTTATTTAAATAGTGCTTTTGAAAACAGTCACAAAGTGCTACGCATATAAAAACGAAGTAAACCAAGAAAGACAGAGAGAAGAGAGGCAGAGTGTCAATGAGCAAGGCGAGTATAACGGAGAATAAAAATATCTTTGCTAAAACAGTCAAATCAATAAAAAAGACAAAAGAAAATAAAACCAGAAATAAAAAACCAAAAGTAGAAACCAAAGATAAATGCATTGAAATCAAGAATTTATATGTATGTATTGTTTTGAGTAGTGTTTTAAACTGGGGCAATGACTCAGTACACACACTGTCATACTACTACTACTGTACTAGTAATACTACTACTACTATGTTTCCTTTGTAGTTTTAAAAATTAGCTTTTTATCCTAGAATAAATGGTAGTGCCAGTTTCTCTCTCACGGCATCTTGATCCTCCATCAAACTGTTTTTGCCCTAAACGAGTGAATTCAGTTTCATTTAATTTCCTTTATTTCACCCTTCTTTCATACAAGTTAAATAACTTGTTGAGCTGTTCTGACTTCATAGTTTCTTTCCTTCGTGTCTCTCTCAGTGTGAAACACTAATGTGAACACAGAGTCACATGTGTCAAACTATTCCCTTATAATTAACTTGAGGCACATTTTAATTTCCACTCAGCGCTATGAGGCTGACACACAGGTGACCACTGTGTGCGTCACTCAGCTAATTAGGATAATAATGGATACAGTGCTAATGATTGTCAGCAGCACAATCAGACCAGTTCAAAGAGCTGCAGAGAAAACGGAGGTTGAAAGTCACAGGTGTATTTATTGTACTACACTTATCTGCAGTTTTGAAATACTGTCAATTAAAATCTAAAGTTTCTATATAGTGTGAGACTACACCACATGTCAGAGGGACATTTTATTCCACTATATTCAGCTGAAAGGGTAATTTTACAAACAAAACATGCAATAAGTTCCTAAAATATGATGAAGTGTTGTACTTTAAACAAAACAACAATTAGTTCGACCACCTGCAACTTTTATTGCATCGATAATTAATCACCCAGACATCAGCAGAGGCAGAGAAACTGACTTTGAAGCTGAACGCTGCAGTTTCTTTCCTGCCTGTGTGTGTTCATGAAGCTGTAGTTGTTTAGTTAGGAGAGGATGGGAAACATACAGATGCAGTGATGAAGGTATAAGACAGATAGGTGCAGTTTGTCCTGAAGAATAAGAATAAACAATAATAAACTGAGTCGCTGCTCGGGTTCTTTTCATCAAAAAGTCTGAATGTCTTTTTCACATTGAACATTTTTGGTGAAAAGAAGGTGAAAACATCATCTTGTGTTGCATCTTGTTAAATCTGAAGAAATCACTGGACTGGAAAAGAACCTTTTGACAATTAAACAGCTTCTTCCAGGATGGGTTTAGCAGTTTAGTTGGCTGTTATTGTTTGATTTATGGTGCCAAATGAAAGAACACAGCAGAAGCAGGAGCAGGAGTAGAAGTAGCGACATGTGAGGAAGCTCCATAACAGAGAGGTAGTTGTCATTAAGAGAAATACACTGAAGGACAGAATGTATGACAGGCAGCGCTAACGGTTTAAATGGTGTGTGTCTGAGTGGCAGTAAAATCCAGGCAAACTGTGAAAATAACAACAAGCTCAGTTCCTGTTTCACACAAGAGACAATTGTGCGGTAAGTGTTGGAACTACAGAGTAACAGTACAGGAAGTGCTGTAGATTGTTGCTATGGAGATAAAGAGTTAGACTATGTACTATAGCTTCAGATCTACTTTTCAATTTATAATAATATTATAGTGATTCA